ATTTCTTTATCATTTTCCCTTCCTTTCTTTCTACTTTCTCCCATCCCAGTTTCTCTTTCCTGTTGGACAATTTCTTCCCATTTCCCAATATTTATTGTACATTTTGAATCTTATTTAGTCTTTCAGCTTCTGACACTAGAGAGACAATATGATGTCTACGCATGTGAGACTGATTAATTTCACTTGAGTATGGTCCCTAGGCACATTCATTTACATACAAAAGTCTCAAGTTTACCCTCCTTTATGCTTGAATAGTACTACATTGTATAAAAATATCACAACTTTTTAATTCATCAGTTGATGGGCATTTGGGTTGTTTCCAAGATTTAGCTATTACAAATTGTGCTGCTATAAACATGGGTGCACATATATTGCTGTGGTACAACATTTTTAATTCTGCTGAGAGGATAACCAGAAGGGGAATAGTTGGGTTGAATGGGACTTCTAATTCTAGTTTTTGGAGGAAACTGCACATTGATTTCCACAATGGTTGTACCCGTCTATACTCCCAACAGCAGTGGAGAAGGTGCTATTTTATCTACAGCCCCTCCATCATTTGTTATTGAATAATTTCTTGAAGATAACCACTCTATCTGGAGTGAGATGGAATCTCAGTGTTGTTTTAATTTACATCTCTCAAATGACAAATGACCTTGAACATTTTTTCATATATTTATTTGCTGTCTGTATTTCTTCATCTGAGAAGAGTGTATTCATTTCAGATGCCCATTTTTGAATTGGGTCTTCAAATTTGGGAGCTTCTGATCTTTTTCAGTTCTTTATATGTTCTAGATATAAGTCCTTTGTCTGAGGGACTCTTGGTTAAAAGTTTTTCCTACTCTGTGGGTTCTCTTTTTATTCTGTTGGTGATTTCTTTTGATGTGCAAAAACTTTTTAATAACATGAGATCCTAGTTGATGATTCTTTGGAGTATTTTCCATGCAGACTGGGTTTTGTTCATGAACTCTCTGCCTATACCTATGCCTTCAAGATTTCTATCTACTTTCTCTTCCAGTACATTCAGTATTTCTGTTTTAATATTTAGATTTTTAATCCATTTTGGTTTTAGTTTAGTGCACTGTGATAGATATGGGTCTAGTTTCAGATTTTGGCATGTGGACAGCCAGTTTTTCCTGCACCATTTACTAAAGAGTTTATCTTTCTTCTAATGAACATTTTTGGCACCTTTGTCAAAGATAAGGTGGCTAAGTGTTTTAGTACTTATGTCTGCATCTTCTAATCTGTTTCACTGATCCTCAGGTCTGTTTTTTACCAGTACCACATTGATTTCATCACAGTAGCTTTGAAGTATGATTTCAAATCAGGGATTATGATGCCTCCCGCCTAGCCTTTGTTGCCCAAAGTTGCTTTTACTATTCTAGGTCTCTTCTGGTTCAAAATGAATTTTAGGAATGTTTTCACTAGCTCCATGAGGTATGCTAATGATACTTTAATTGGGATTGCATCAAATCTGTACAATCATTTTGGGAGTATGGCCATTTTCATTATGTTGATTCTTCCTATCCAAGAGCAAGTGTACCTTTCCATTTTCTGATATCCTCTTCAATCTCCTTTTTCAGAATACTGTAAATTTCAATGTATAGATCATTTACTTCCTTTGTTAGATTGATTCCTGAGTACTTCATTTATTTGGATGCCATTGTAAAGGATGTGGGTTCCCTAATTTGTCTGTCATTGAGTTTGTTGTTTGTGTACAGGAATGCTATTGATTTTTGAGTGTTGACTTTGTATCCATCTGCACAACTGAATTTAGTTATTAAATCTAGACATCTTTTGGTAGAATATTGGGGTCTCCTATGTAGTTTCTCATGTCATAGCCAAAAATGATTTTCATGTCTTCATTTCCTATCCTTATTCCTTTTGTTTTTTCCCTCTCTCTTGTTTAATTGCTCTGTGTAATATTTTCAGAACTATATTGTATATGAGTGATCATAGTAGAAGTCCTTATCTTGTTCCTCATTTTATATTTTTTGGTCTTTTTTGAGACAGAGTCCTGCTATTCAGTTCAGACTGGCTTTGTGCTCACTTTCTAGCCAAGGCTAGCTTTGAACTAGCAACTATCCTCCTGCCTCAGCCTCCTGAGTGCTGTGATTACAGGTGAGTACCACAATGCCTGGCTTGTTTCTGATTTTAGAGTGACTGCTTTCAGTTTTTGTCCATGTAGTATGATGTTGGCTGTTGCTTTGTAATAGATTGTTTCCATCATGTTGAGATAAAGACCATTTATTCCAATTTTCTGTAGGTTTTTTTTTTATCATGAATGAGTGTTGGACTTTATCAGGAGCTTTGTCTGCATCTATTGAGATGAACATGTGATGTTTGTCGTTGGCTCTGTTGACATGGTGTACTAAATTTATTGATTTGTGTATATGGAACCATCCCTGCATTCCTGGGATGAATCCCACTTGGTCATGATGTATAATATTCTTGATGATTTCCTGCATTCTGTTTGCTAGTATTTTATTGAGAATTTTTGCATCTATGTTCATTAGGGAAATTGGCCTATAGTTTTCTTGTTTGCTTGGGTCTTTCTCTGTTTTTGGTATCAGCATAATTCTTGCCTCCAGGAATGAGTTAGGAAGAATTGCTTCCCTTTCAATTTCATTAAAGAGTTTGAGAACAATTGGCATTAAATCTTCTGTAAATTTCTTGTAGAATTCGGCCGTGAATCCGTCAGAACCTGGGCTTTTCTTCATTGGTAAGATTTTACTACAATTTCGATTTCATTGACTGATATTAGGTTACTCAGGATTTTTACATTTTCTTGATTCAGCTTTGGTAATTCATGTACCTAGGAATCTAGAGGTACATTTCTGTCCACTTCAGAAAGGTACAATCTGTCCATTTCCATTTCCATCCTATGAGTAAAGATTTTTGAAGTAGATATTGATGATCCTCTGAATTTCTACAGGATCTGTAGTGCTTTCATCCTTTTCATTCCTTATTGCATGAATTTGACTTTTTCCTTTCCTTTTTGTGGTAAGGCTGGTTATGGGTTTATCAATTATATTCATTCTTTCAAAGAATGTATTCATTAATCCTTTGTATTGTTTTCTTAGTCTCCACTGCATTAATTTCTGCTGTAACCTTTATAATCTGTTCCCTTCTTTGGGTTTTGGGCTTGACTCCCTCGTCTTTTTCTAGAAGCATGAGGTGCAGCATAAGGTTGTTTATTTGTGCTCGTTCTGTTTTCCTGATGTGGGAATTCATTGGTATCAATTTCCCTCAAGGACTGTTTTCACTCCAAACTGCAAGTTCCAGTAAGTTGTATCTCCATTTTGGTTTGACTGTAAATATTGTTTAATCTATTCTTTACTTTTATGTGTGACCATTGGTTGTTCAGGAGGGTGCTATTTGATTTCCACGTGCTTATGGTGTTTTTGTGACATCTTTTGCTAATAATTTCCACTTTCTAATTCCCAAGCTTTGTAGGATCACAAAGTAATTTTCTCCCTTTTCTAACCATACCATGTTGGACTCACCATACCTCCCCTTCCCCATGAACCTGTCCAGATGGTGTTCTGTGATGTCATAGTCACTCTGCCCACTCAGGTTACCATTGGCTGGTGCCTTGCTGACCAAAAAGAAAACCCAACGGAGTGGCCACCTTCCAGGCAGGTGTATAAAGGCAGGTCAGGCCCACCAGGGGCAGACCACTGGGAGGAGCTCTGCTAGGAAGCATGGCGAGGTATTCACCTAGGAAGCAGGGGGTGGTGTCGAGCTCCTGATAACGCTCAACTAAGAACACTCCTGAGAAGGAAGAGAAGGGCGATCTCAGTGCCTAAATTTCAGGGCAAGGTGAGTAGACCATCCTATGGTCCGATAATATGCATGGGATAATTTAAATTCCTTCAAATTTACTTAAACGTGTTCTGTGTGCTAGTATATGGTCTATTTTAGAGAACGTCCCATGTGCAGCTGAGAAGAATGTGTATTCTGATGTTGTTGGGTGAAACACTCTGTAAAGATCTACTAAGTCCATTTGTTCACAAGTTTGGTTTAATCAAATTCTTTCTATGTGCTTGGAAAGTTTCCTGCTATTAAATCTCAAAACATGTTTTTTTTTTTATTTCTTTTGAGCTATCTTCTGATTTTTCATTAATTCGTATTAGTCTTAGCTTTCTTTGTAACATCTAGCTGCTCCATTATTCAATCTTTGGAGCACATAGATCCCACCTTCCTTCTTCTCATATACACTTGTTCTTCCCTGCCTTCCTAACTTTTTTCTTCCTTCAAATTCAGCCATTTTGAGGAAGATCTCACCTTCCTCCCTTCTCTCACATTATCCTGCTCCCTTGTTTCCTTTCACTCCCCTTCCCCAAAGATCAACCAACTGGAGGATATTCCATCTTCCTCCCTTACATAAACAGGCTATTTCCTTCCTTCCCTCCTCCCTTCCTTACTTCTCTCCTTCCTTCCTTCCTTCTTTCCTTCCTTCCACCCTTCCTCCCTCCCTTTCTTCCTCTCTCCCTCTTATCATCTCTCCCCTTCTCTTCCTCAAATTTCCATCGGTGGGAGAAGGCCACCCCTTCTCCCTCCCAGCTTCCTTTTTTCCATCTTTCTCCCTTCCTTCCTCCCTTCCTTTCTGTCCTTCCTCCACCAGTTCTGCCAAGCTTCCCGCCCTTTTCTTTCTTCAAATTTCCATCAGTGGCAGGAGGATCCCTCCTGCCTCCCTTCTCATCCCCTCCTGCTCTTCCCCTCCCTCTCTCCTCCCTTCCTCCCGACCCCCAGAGAATACACAGACACACTCAGAGGTTCGCAGATGTAGGTGTTATTGTACCATCACTTGAAAGTGTTGGTGTAAAATCTTGGGACTACCAGAGCCGCTCAACTGCGGTGTCCAGACCGCGAGCCACTTTTCAGATTGTAGGGCGGCTTGCGGCCTCTCAGGCCACGAGACTCTGCGATTTTCTTCCCCGAGCCTGAGGGTCCCTGGTGTTGGCGGGACCTCTTCCGGCCCTGCTTCGCTGGCTTTCGCTTCCGGCCTGTCTTGGACTCGGGTTTTGGGAGGGGAATGTGGGGGGCTCTCTGGCAACTTCCGTGTGCCCCCATGGACACGCTCCTGCTCTGGCGCACTTTCCCGCATTTTCTCATCCTTTTGGCGCCACGGGGCAAACCCTGCCGCTGCCTCCCCTCTCTTTGGGTCCCCAGCTCAACTTGGGCCATGTGAGGAGTAATTTTCTTCAGTGTATCGGCACTCTTGCCCCTGGTTGGTTTCTGGGTTACCTGGAAGGACACAGGGAGATCACAGAAGAGCACTGGTTTGGGGGAGGCGGGGAGCGATGGGAACAGGGGCTTCAAGAGAAGGGCTACAGCCTGAGGACAGGTAAGGGTCTTGGGAGGGTTGTCAAGGGGACAAGGGCAGGAGCTAGGAGGGTCTGCTCACCTTGCCCTTAAATTTAGGTGGTGAGATCGCCCTTCTCTTCCTTCTCAGGAGTGTTGTTGATTCCGCGGTTTCAGAAGCTCTACGCCGCCCCCGCTTCCTACGCGGACATCTCGCCATGCTTCCCAGAAGAGCTCTTCCCAGCGGTCTGCCCCCGGTGGGCCTGACCTCCCTTTATAAACCTTCCCCCAAGGGGGCCACGCCCTTGGGCTTTCTTTGGTCAGCAAGGCACCAGCCAATGGCAACCCTGAGTGGGCAGAGAGAGATTATGACGTCACAGAACACCATCTGGACAGGTCCATGGGGAAGGAGAGGTATGGTGAGTCCAACATGGTATGGTTAGAAAAGGGAGAAAATTACTTTGTGACCCTACAAAGCTTTCCCAGACTGGTCTCCCGCCCCTTCTATCTACTTATGCTCCATTTTCATGGATTGTACTGCAGGGAGAGGGTCTTTCCTCCACACTATACCTAAGGCCACCCCTATTCACTGGTACATTTTGTTTTGTCCCTTTCTCTACCATCACCTACTTTGTGTCTACCTGATATTTCCTGCTAGCCACAGCCATATCTCAGACTATGTGGAGATGTGCACAGTCCTTCCCTTCTACAAATTTCTCTTATGCACACTGAAGATTACCTACTACTTGGCTACCACCAGAGCATTCTCTTCTACCCTACTCCCTCTCCCCGGGGTCCACTGACATTCCCTCAGATATTGTTTTCTAGTCTGCAATCATTGCCTTTCAGCTGTCAGACTTCAGCGAATAGACTGGCTCCACAAGCTAACCTAGTCACCTTTAACATTGAAGAGCCCTGCTTACCTCAGTAGATGTACTACCTACACTCAAGGTTTAACAGTTGTCTTAGTTCCTTTTCTGTTTGCTGAGACAAAATACCCAGCACCCAAAGTGGAAGTGGGAAAGATTTATTTAGCTCACAGTGTGAAGTAGTATCAGTCCCTAATCAGCAGGCTCCAAGGCAGGGTGGTGTGGCAGGGGGGCAACCATTCCTGGTGGTGGAAGATACCAAGTGCAGCAAGGGGTGGACAGGAGCCTCTTTTAATCCTTTAGGTTGTATGCAGGCAACCCATCCTAGGGCAGGTGTCACACTCACACCCTTCATCCCAGCATTAGCCCGTCAATCAACCACAAACTCTAGATTCTGCTGCCTCTGATGAGGTAGCCTCTCATGATGCCATGAGGCTTTGTGGGGACATCCAGACATAAAGCATAACAACAGTTAGGAGAAACAAGACAGATAATCATGTTCCAGAAGTTCTATGGGACAGTTGCATGTTCCATACATTCAAATACAATCTCAGACTGATTAATTCATAAAGCACAGTAGGGTTGGCTTGGATTGTGTAACATAGTTTTTGAGGTTCTATTCAGTGTAACAAATTTTTGTTTTATTTTGTTTTGTTTTTTGAGACAGGGTCTTGTTCTGTACCTCAGGCCCTTAAAGTTATAGCGATCCTCCTGCATCAGCTTCTGGAATGCTGAGATTTCAGGCATGCACCACCACATCCAGGCATGGAATGAGTTTTTCACAAAAATTCTCCAGAAAGGAAAGGGAGAAGTGAAATTATTGATACAGAAAAAATAGGATAGTATATGCATACAATTGTACTAAGTTCTTTTTGTGTGTTACTGAGACAGGATTTCACTGGTAGTTTATGCTGATCTTGGACTCATTGTGTAGCCCAGGCTGGACTAGAACTTTTGGTCATCCTCTTGCCTCAAACCTCCTTAGTGCTAAGATTACAGGTGTTACCCTTTGTGTCCTGAGGTACCCCCAAAGCTTCAGGCAGTCATTGATGGGTCTTTTCACATGTGGCTTGTGTGCTGCTAGGATTAAGGATGTGATGTTGGACGTGAATCGTGGTGTGATGCTAGGATTAAGGGTGCTCTAACCTGGGTGTGAGTACCATTCTCCCTCAGGATGAGTAGGCTGCATAGGACATGAGAAACAAAAAGGCACTCACTGCTTGTTGCTTGTTACTTGCTGCTTCTTTCTTACCCTGCTGCTCTGCAGTGCCCTCTGCCACACCACCCTGCCTCAGCTTCAGACAAATATGAACTGAAAGCTCTACAAACTGTAAGCCAAATAAACCTTTTCTCTTTTAACTTTAGGCATCAAGTCTTCTGTCTCAGCAACAAGAAAAGCAATGAAGACATTCACTTTGACAGTTTTTATTCTGCTAAAACCCCTCCCTTCCCTTCTCCCTCTTTCCCCAGGTCCATATCCCATCCCTACCTAGAGAGGACACTTTCAGCCCCTTTGATACTGCATCCAGTCTATTGGGATTAGAGCACTGCCAATCCAATCAGTAGACTGATACAGCAATCATCTACTTCAATCTCAGCACCCTCAATCTCAGCATTGCACTACAGATGCATCATATACTCTCTATTCAGCCAACTCTGAAGAAAACTCTGATTGCATGAGGCTTTCAGGGGACACCTACACACCAATCATAACATTGAGCATTTGGATTGGAACAGAGTTATGGAAATTTGCACAAAAGGGGATGTGACAGTGTTTTTAAAATTAGTATTCACAGCAAGGTACTTGTTTTATGTTTTTTCACCATATCTTGCTTCAAATTTCCACAGTGACAGAACTCGGCAATGCTCATCTCAATTACCTGGTTGGTACCTGGAATCACCTTTGTACACAGGTGTCTGACACTCTCCAGCTCTCATTTCAATGTAGATTAAATGCAGATTCTCCTGGTTTTTATCTCAGACCTTCCTGAGCAGCACTCAACCACTGTGCCCTCAGCCAGGATATGTGTCCCTAATAGGAATCAAAATACACTCTTTCTTCAGAGTATTTATAATGATTACTATTAATTCACTTGTGTGGTTGAGTGCTTTATTTATTAATTCTTACTGCAACTCACGGTAGTCTTCTAAACTTGTTATTCTTATCTTCATGATAAAATGGGCTCATAGGTTTAAAGACTTAACTGAGGCCCTTGACATAGTAGAGAAGGATCCAGAATTCCCTAACAGACTGAAGTTCTTCACATAATCTTTGACATACTCTCCACTATCACTCTTTGTTGAAATGAATCCTTCTGTCTTCATGTTAATCAAAATCAATATGTATCCATAGATAAAGTCCTGGCCTAAGGATACCCAAGCGTTTATGAGTGTCTGTCTCTGTAATTACAGTTGGGCAAAGGTCTGTGGTTACAGAAGATGCTGTGGTTGTGGGCACGATACCCTCCTGGCCTCCTCTGGCCACATGCACAGGTAGGATTGATGGACCAGGAAGAAAGTGTCCCTGGAGCAAGCTTCAATCAATGAAGGATGAAATTTGGTGGGTAAATACTCCAGTTTCTTCACCTTCCCATTTGGAAATTCGGAGCTGTGCTCCATAAATCTCAAAAAGGGTCTCCAGTGGAATGCAACCTTAGTTGCCCACTGCAAGCCCCGATTAATGAACTTATCCATCATCTGGCTTTCCTCTTTCAACTGCCTCACTTCTCTACTCCTTTACAATACTAACAGGGATCACCCCCCAAATTAACTTATGGCATGAAAATCTAGTGTCAGAGATGATGTTGGGGGTAACACAGAGTAGTTACTGTATTTTCTACTTTGTGTCTGCAGGTTCCCACAAGGCCTCATGTGGTCATAGGGGGTGGGTATTTTTGCAGGTGGCTGAATATAGAGTGTGTGATTGATTTGAAGTGCGATGCTGGGGTTAAGCGTGTGAGGGCTAAAACTGCCCTATGGACGGTGGTCTGCATACAATATAATGGACAAAAAGAGACTTTCTCTCTCTCTCTCTCTCTCTCTCTCTCTCTCTCATCCACCCATCTTTCTCTCTCCCTGCTTTCAGTTTTTTTTTTCACCATGAACTGTTGCCCCTCTGCCATGTGCCACCCTGCCTTGGAGCCAGCTGACTACATACTGAAACCATTATAAACTATGAGCTAAATAAGCCTTTCACCCTTTAACTTTGGGTGTTGTACATGTGTCTCAGCAGCAAGTGAAAAGTAACCAAGACAGTGACAGAAAACGTAATGGAAGTATTTTAGTTACAGATCATCTGGATATTATGCATTATATCTCACTGACATTTTGTCATACAGACTGCATCTATTTATCAATTTATTGATCTGTTTGTCAATATACTTGTCTTTTAAAACCTTGCATGGTGTAAAATGACCTTCAGGTAACCACATATATCTCCACTTGAGCACCAGCCTCTTACTCTTGTTCCTTCCCCAGACTGCAGAGTTACTGCTTCCTGGAGAACGCACTGATGAACAGGGAACCTTCTGAGGAGTACAGCAACATTCACAAGGGTTGAGATGGAGAGTGAGTACCACCTACCAGCATCTGGGGCACCACCTGCCTTTGCTGCTGTAGCTGTGAGTAATTCTATAACTACTGCCAGGGAAGTTCCTTCCCTGCTGTAACAGAGGGTTAGAGTCAAATGTATTCAAAGTAACCACTAGTAAGCTGGGTAGACAACAGCATCTGATTGCTCTGATGTAAGTCTTCGAAAGAGCCTCTTACTGGGATAGATGAAAAAACTGTTTTGATTTTAGCACAAAGTCAGCATCAGCTGAGAAATAAGGTTTCAAGTCTTCTGCCTTTAAAAGGTACCTCAAAGGCCCAAAGGACAGAAGTAACCACATGTAGGAGGCAATTCCATAATTAACAAACGATGACTGATTTCTCAAAGTCCATGATTGTGTGGAGCCTGATGTCAGTCTCAACTCATGAGCCTTGCTTAAAACAAGGTACAGGATCCTGCTAGTCACTCGGTAGCCAGCTGACATCCAAAACACTGACATGTATAACCCCTGATTTAAGGCCCTTTGAGGCTGAAAGTGTCTTCAGTATCTCAGCTCTCAAAAGTTACAGACCCTGGAATTCCTCCATGTGACAGATATGAGCAAGTTTCTGCCCTAATGCCTGGGGTCCTGGAACAGAATAAAGTCCAGGTTCTGGTCTTATGACTTTCCTGGAATATAATTACAGTTATGAACTGGTGGAGCAAGGCTATATGCAAAAATTTTGTAGTCCTGTCATACATGTTTGTCCTTACATATCTTTTTCTTTCTATCTAGATGCCCTAGTCTCTAAGCAATAGAAAAACTAATTGAACTGGTGTTAATAATACATGGATGTAATATCTGACATAATAAGAAGTTCAGAGGCAACATGATTCTGA